CCCCACCCTACCCCACTGGGGATGGCACTCCTTTTCCCTACCCTGCTGATGACAGCTGATACCCTGCCTGGGACGTCGCTCCACCTCCTTGCTTCACAGAGGTCGTCGCTTAAGCCAATCCGACCACCCCACTACCCCAGCCGGTAGGGAGGTCACTGATTTCCTGTACACACCTGTCTTGTGATTCCCTTGATTAGCTCCCTTATATAAGATCTGTGTTTTGCCATCTTGGTTGCTTGGCATTTGTTTTGTATTGTGGTTATGTGTGTAGTTATCTGCTGTTGTGGGCTCCCAGTTTTTCTAGCCTTTTGAACCTTGCTTTGTCTGTGTTTGGATTTTGTTTAGTCTAAATTTAGTTTTAAAAAAATTAAAGAAAGCCTGCACCTGCATCTAACTCCCTGGATTTGTCCAATATGCAGAGTTTTTACTGGGTGACAGAGATTTTTATATATATAACACACATACACACAGTGCTGCTAGAAAGTTTGTAAACTCTTTACAATTTTCTGTATTTCTACATAAATTTGACCTGCATTGTGATCAGATCTTCATATAAGTCATAAAACTAGATAAACATAACCCAATTAAACAAATGATGCAAAATATAGTTTACATTTATTTATTGAACAAAATTTTCCAACATTGAATATCTTTTCTTTCAGTAACTGGTGTGACTTTCTTGAGCAGCAATAACTTCAATGAAATGTTTCTGGTAACTTGATCAATCTTACACAGTGGGTTGGAGGAATTTTAGCCCATTCCTCCTTACAAAACTGCTTCAACTCTGTGATGTTGGTAGGCTTCCTTGCATGAACTGATCTTTTTAGGTTCTTCCACAATGTTTCTATTGGGTTAAGATCTGGACTTTGACTTGGCGATTCCAAAATGTTAAATTTCTTCTGCTTTAAGCATTTCTTTGTAGACTTATGTATGCTTAGGGTCATTGTCTTGCTGCATGACCCACTTATGGTTAAGCTTCTGTTGACAGACAGATATTCTGACATTCTCATGTAGAATTTGCTAGTACAATCTAGAATTCATAGGTCCATCAATAATGGCAAGCCATCCTGGACCCAGCAAAGCAGCCCCAAACTATGATACTTCTACCCCCATGCTTGGAATGATGTTCTTATGTTGGAATGCACTGTTTGGGTTTTACCAAGCATAACACTTTTTTTTTTTAAAGTTCTAATTTGGATTCATCTGTCCACAGAACATTCTTCCAGTAAGCCTCTGGCTTATCCATGTGGTCTTGAGCAAACTTCAGACAGCAGTGTTCTTTTTGGAGTAGTGGCTTCCTCTTTGCTAGCCTGCCGTGCACACCATTCTTATTCAGTGTTTGCCTGATGGTGGACTCATGAACACTGACATTTACTTAATGCAAGCATAGCCTTAGGTCCTTATATTGTAGGATCTGTAGACCCCTGGGGTTCTTTGTGACTTCCTGTAATATTAATTACTGTGCCTATGGAGTGGTTTTTGATGGATGACCACTTCTTGGGAGTGGTGCTGAATTTCCTCTATTTTGTATCTCATCTGCCTCACAGTGGATAGAAGAAGGCCAAACTCTTTAGAAATGGTTTCATAACCTTTTAGAGCCTGGTGAGCATTGATAACTCTCTTTTTTGTGGTCCTCAGGAATCTCCATTTGATTGAGGCATGGCACACTTTCAAAAACCTGTGTGGTGAAGATCAGACTTTGATAGTGAAGACCCAAGTTTATGTTCCTGAAACATGGGAGGACCTGCTAAACTCATGCCTTATTGCTGTTCCCTTGATCAAAACACCTGACTTCAATTACCCCTTTAAATGAACTCGTACTCCTAGAGGTTCACATACTTTTTCCGACAAAGATATTTAATGTTGGATAATTTTGCTCAATAAATAAATGTAAAAAACCATAATGTTTTTGTGTATTTATTTAATTGGGTTCTCTTTATCTAGTTTTTGGTACTTAAATGTGAAGATCTGATCACATTTCAGTTCAAAGTTATGCAGATGTACAGAAAATTGTGTAATATAATTGCACGTGTGTGTATACAGTATGTGTCTATAGCAGGGGTTGTCAATTAACAGAACTAACAATTTATTTCACTGGAACGAACAAGAGTACTAAAATACTATAGCAGAGTAAATGTACAAAAAAGGAACTGCCCATAGTTCAGTGACTCTAGTTCTGTAAATATGAACTATCTTGGCTTCTCTAGCAGATTCTTCAGAAATGTGTTAAATACTTGTTTCCCACTCAAAGGCTGAGAAAAAAATGTCCAATGCCCACATTTTTGGGCTACTTTCAGGTGTTTTGAATGGTTTCTGGGCTGTATTTTGGCTGAACATTTTGCTGAAACCAGTCAACCCTGGTTAATTATAATTCTAGACTATATGCTGGATGACTGTATGTTGTTGACTCTCAACTGCGTATTACAGGGTTACTCGAACAATTCACTAGATAGCATAAGTCAAGTGTCATAGCCTCTCAACTTAATTTTTTTTTTTGATGCTATATTGTTATTAACATCAACCTGCCCCACCAAAATCATGCGCCTCTGCTGCTGCTGCTGCAAAAAAAAAAATCCTAATTTTTCTGACTGTTTAAGTTCACAGGAATGTGCCATCCTGTAGTAAGATTAAATCATTACGGGTCATAATCTGGTGTAAAGGATTTTTTTCTGGTCCATTAGTGTGGCCATATTATCTAATGACCTGATTTGCGTTAATTCTGTAATCTATCTCAGGTCTGTTACAAACCAGCGTGAAATGCGAAAAAAGGGAAAAAACACTTTTGAAGTAATTATTTGTAAAAGTTTAAAACCAAGCCTATCTCTGTGTGTTTATACTTAAAGCTTTATATAGCATTTCCTTTTACTTGGCCTCATGCCTGGCCTTGGTTTTTTTTTTTTTTGTATAACCATGCACAAATGCCAAAAAAGAAGAAAAGCATTAAGGTAAAAGTTGTTGCATTTCAGTCATGTTAATCACTTACCTCACTACTGAGGTATGAACCTTACTATCATACTCTCACACACACACTATCAAACATCTCTCAAACACACCATCATACTCTCATACACACACTATCAAACCTCTCACACATACAAACTATCAAGCCTCTCACACCCACTGTCATACTCTCACACACACACTATCTAACCTCTCTCTCACACACTATCATACTCTCGCACACACACTATCATACTCTCGCACACACACTATCTAACCTCTCTCTCACTCACACTATCATACTCTCGCACACACACTATCTAACCTCTCTCTCACACTATCTAACCTCTCTCACTCACACTATCAAAACTCTCACACACTATCATACTCTTGCAGACACATTATCTAACCTTTCTCTTTCACACACAATCAAACCTCTCACACACACTATCATCCTCTCTCACAGACACTGTCAAACCTCTCTCCCACACATTATCATACTCTTTCCCACACACTATCAAACCTCTCTCTTTCACACACACACACACACACACACACACTATCAAATCTCTCACACACTGTCAAACCTCTCTCACACACTATCAAACCTCTCACACACACCATCACACACACACACACACACTATCAAATCGCTTACATGCACCATCAAACCTCTCACACAGTCATACTCTCACACACACACATTATCATACTCTATTTCACACACTATCAAACCTCTATCTCACACACTATCATACGCTCTCACACACACTATCATACTCTCTCTCACACACTATCATACTCACACACACACACTATCAAATCGCTTAGACACATCATCGAACCTCTCTCCCACACACTATCAAACATCTTTCCCACAAGTAAAGAAGAAAAAAAAAGCTGGAGCTCCTCAATTGTACAGTTAGCAATCCCTTCTCCAAACTGTTGCCACAACGTTGGAAGACCAAATTATCTAGAATGTCTTTATATGCCATAGTATTAACATTTTGCTTCACTGGAATTAAGGGGCCCCAAACCTGTTGCAGCATAATAATGCCCCTGTGCACAAACCAAGGTCAATGAAGACATGGTTTTCCAAGGTTGAAGTGGAAGAACACAAGTTGCCTGCACAGAGCCATGACCCCACTGAACACCTTTGGAATGAACTGAAACGCTGACTATGCCCCAGGCCTTTTCGCCCGACATCAGCGCCTAACCTCACTAAAGCTCTTTTCGCTTGATGGGCACATTCCTACAGTCAAAGAGGTCCAAATCTGGAATAGAACATTCCAGAAACACATACTGTATGTATGTGAAGGTCAGACAAACTGAACTAAAATATTTCACTGGATTTGAAAACACTTCAGAAACCCTGAATTTCTTCATACTCATGTGCATATGTTGATCACCCGTAAAGTGCAAAGTTTGTTCCCAACACAGCCCACTCGCATGTAGTGACACCCATAAAACTTCATAAAAGTTCAAGAGCACAGGCAACTGGGAGCACAAAATGAATGATCAGGGAAAAGCCTGAAAAACAGATGTGGAAGTTTCCTGACTCACTTTTCTTCAAATAAATGTATTTAATAATATATAATAAGTGCGTGCTAAATCTTCTGACAGCTGAGGTATTTGTTTATGGCTTATGGATATGCGCAGACAGACTGGCCCGTCCTCCATTTACATGGTGGCATTTCTTTTGTTATAATTGAATAATTAGCACTTCTATAAGTTTCTCTGGATAAGGATAAGATAGATAAGGGCATCTGCTAACTGCTGTAATAAAAATAAGCATATTTATATATAGAATAAGTATATTCCATAAAAGTATAAAAGTGATTTGACGTGACCCATACTTGGAATTTGTGCTCTGCATTTAACCCATCCAAGTGCACACACACACAGTAGTGAAGACACACCCGGAGCAGTGGGCAGCCTTTTTTGCTGCAGCGCCTAGGGAGCAGTTGGGGGTTCGGTGCCTTGCTCAATGGTCTCACCTCAGTCGTGGTATTGAGGGTGGGAGAGAGCGCTGGTCATTCACTCCCCCCACCTACAATCCCTGCCGGACCTCAGACTCAAACCCATGACCTTCAGGTTCACAGGCCGAGACTCTAACCATTAAGCCACTACTGCCCCAGTCTATGCAGTAATCCATGCAAAAGATATGATTTGAAGATAATCAAGTCGAGGTTTATGTTAGTTATTCTTCTTATGTGTAAATTTACACACACTCATGAGCAGAACATGAATGTCTTTCCAAATTAACAGGATTTTCATGTAAACTAAATTTCTTGTGTAAATGGTCATACTACAACTACGTACTTGTATACATATTTTGTTTGTGTGCGTGTGTGCACGCGTGTGCATCTACAGTGTGTATAAACTTTACTAAACATAATAATTGGTTGTACCAACTTGAGCAGCAACAGCTGCAACCCAATGCTTCCAATAACTGGAGATCAGTCTTTCAAATCTCTGTCCAGGAATTTTGGCCCAATTTTTTGCAGAATTGCTTTAATTCAGCCACATTAGAGGCCTTTAAATCATGAACTGCCTGTTTAAGGTCCTGCCACTGCATCTCAATGGGGTTCAAATCAAATCTTAATTTTATTTCTTTTAAGCCATTCAGAGGTAGACTTGCTTTTGTGCTTCAGATCGTTGTCTTGCTGCATAACCCAACTGTGCATGGACTGATGACTTGACATTCTCCTTCAGGATTTTCTGGTAGAGAACAAAATTCAAGGTTCCGTCAGTTATGGCAAGTTGCCCAGGCCCTGAAGTAGTCTTCCAACATGTTTCACTTTTGACTCGTCAGTGCACAGAATATTATCCCCAAAGGGTTGGGGGATCATCGAGGTGTTTGTGTGACAAAACCTTTATATTCCTCTTGTTAGCAGTGGTTTTTGCCTTTTGTGGATACCATTTTTGCCCAGTCTCTTACTAATGGTGGATTCATGAACACTGATGGCAAGCAAGGCAAGGCCTGCAATTCCGTTGATGTTTGTCTGGGTTCTTTTGCGACTTCCTTGATGTGCTTGTGGAGGAAATTTGGTAAACCGACCACTTCTGGGAAGATTCACCACCGTTCCAGGTTTTGAACTCAAGGGGGCAAATACCTTTTCACAACACTGTTCTCATATGACAGATTATGCTTGCACATTCATGCATTTGCTCATACATTCTATTGCACACACACTTACTGCCTGTGTACACACTGAATGCTTGTATGTGTATGTATCAGTGTGAGAGCAAGGCAAATTTCAGTGAACCCAGAAGACCTACACAATGACTGATCAAAGGAGAAATTTTAAATTAAAATCAAAATCTAATTAAAATTGAAAGGAACAATTGTTTGTTCATCCATAAACACTTAAAGAAGCTGAAGATGTTCTGGCAAATGTTGTATATACTGATAAGCATATACGGTACATTAACACTCTCCCTGTTGCAATGAAATGATGTGCACTCTATGTGCACTAAAAATTGTCTTGCGCTCTCACACACACAAATGCTCAGTGTGCACAAGTTTGTATGAGAAACTGTGTGTATGTTCTAGTGTGGTGTGTGTATATGTGTGTGTGTCCGTCCAAGAATTTCATATATATATGCTCAAGCAGTATGTGAATATGTGCAAGTGTTTCACTGTATTGCAACCCCCCCCCCCCCCCACCACACACACACACACACACACACACACACACACACACACACACATTCCAACCACACCCTCATATTCTCCTTCACTCACTCACACAGACTTTCTCTCTCTCTCACACACACACACACTAAACACAGTAGAGACTCTAATTTAGCTATAATGAAGATAAAAACAAAATCGTTCTTACCTGCAAACTTCTTCTTATCTGCTAACACTGTGAAACATGTAATTAAGCAATATTTTATATTAGTTTTTCCAAATACAGTTAGATTAAACAAAACAGAGAATCAAAACTAACATAAATGTTTATAGGATGAACCAAATGTACACACTAAATAAATTAAATATTTTTTCTAAAAGACCTCATTCTTTGTAGTGATTTTTCTGGTGGAATATTAATGTGAGTAAAATTGTAAGCTGTGAGAAATGTAAATGTAATGCTCCTCTTTCTAAATACAAATCTTATTTCTCATCTCACAGTTCTAAATGGATTTTACTCAGGTGTAATTACCGTGTTTCATCCTTTGTTTCTGTGGCTCTAAAAAGAGAAAAAAGTTAGTATTAGAGACTGGACTTAGACACTAGGATGCTGTTATTAGGAAGCTGTAATACACTGTTATTATTTTCCATTTAAGAGTTGTGTGTGTTTTGAATAAATCCATATAAGTTCACTTTTTTAAAATTAACTTTATATTTCTACTTTTCTACTCTACATTTTATAGACAGTAGAAATGTGGTGTTTAACATGTTTTGTTTTTTTCACAACTTGCATACACCGATCAGCCATAACATTAAAACCACCTGCCTAATATTGTGTAGTTCTCCTTGTGCCAGTAAAACAGCTCTGAGCCATCGAGGCATGGACTCCACAAGACCTCTGAAGGTGTGCTGTGGTATCTGACATCAAGAGGTTAGCAGCAGATCCTTTAAGTCTTGTAAGTTGGATCGGACTTGTTTGTCTAGCACATCCCACAGATGCTCGATCAGACTGAGATCTGTGGAATTTGGAGGCCAAGTCAACACCTTGAACTCTTTGTCATGTTCCTGAAACCATTCCTGAACAATTTCTGCAGTGTGGCAGGACGCATTATCCTGCTGAAAGAGGCCACTGCCGTTAGGGAATACCGTTGCCATGAAGGCGTGTACTTGGTCTGCAAGAGTGTTTAGGTAGGTGGTACGTGTCAAAGTAACATCCACATGAATGCCAGGACCCAAGGTTTCCCAGCAGAACACTGCCCAGAGCATCACACTGCCTCCACCAGCTTGCGTTCTTCCCATAGAGCATCCTGGTGCCATCTCTTCCCCAGGTAAGTGACACACACACACCCTGCCGTCCACATGATGTAAAAGAAAATGTGATTCATCAGACCAGGCTACCTTCTTCCATTGCTCCATGGTCCAGTTCTGATGCTCTCGTGCCCATTGTAGGAGCTTTCGGTGGTGGACAGGGGTCAGCATGGGCATTCTGACAGGTCTGCAGCTACGCAGCCCCATACGCAGCAAGCTGTGATGCACTGTGTGTTCTGACACCTTTCTATCATAGCCAGCATTAACTTTTTCAGCAGTCTGTGCTGAAAAAGTTCAGCACAGTAGCTACAGCACAGCACAGTAGCTACAGTAGCTCTGCTGTGGGATCGGACAGACAGGCTAGCCTTCGCTCCCCACGTGCATCAGTGAGCCTTGGGCGCTCACGACCCTGTCACCTGTTCACCAGTTGTCCTTCCTTGGACCACTTTTGGTAGGTACTAATCACTGCATACCAGGAACACCCCACAAGACCTGCTGTTTTGGAGATGATCAGACCCAGTCGTCTAGCCATCACAATTTGGCCATTGTCAAAGTCGCTCAGATCCTTACACTTGCCCATTTTTCCTGATTCCAACACATCAACTTCTACAACTGACTGTTCACTTGGTGCCTAATATATCCCACCCCTTGACAGGTGCCATTGTAACGAGATAATCAATGTCATTCACTTCACCTGTCAATGGTTTTAATGTTATGGCTGATCGGTGTATGTGACATTAAGTTTAATTATGTTATTATACAGTGTAACATAATCTTTTCCACATAGATTTCTCTGTTCAGTTTAGTAGTGATGCAGCATTTATTTGTGCATTCACTACTATTACACTGGAGTACTACAGTATATCTTTTGAATTATGATCCACTGTTTCCTCTAGTGGATCATAATTCATATCAATAATTCAGACCACACACACACACACACCATATGAACAGACAAATTCAACAGAAGTGGCCTCTTATGTTTCTCACATTCCCAAAAACACATAATAATATTTCTCACATTAAAACACAAGTTATGAGGTCAGCAGTGCAGTGTAAAGTGTTTCTGTACTGTAGAGAAGTTTATACTGTTTTCTGTGTGCTCTGGCATTTAAATTAAATGTGTTTTTATTAAGTGATTATGAAGTGTCATGAAGTAGCACATGCAACAGCATGCTTCATAACAGAGTCCCACTAATCGATAATTACATTCATAGCCAACAATTGTTGTTACTGATTTTTGCTGATTTTTGTCAGTAAGTTGTTCTACCCCTGAAAAAAATGTAAAATCCTCCTTACCTGCAAACTCCTTGATCTCTGCTAAAACTGTGAAACATGTAATAAAGAAATATTTTAAATTATTATATTCATCCAAATACAGTTAAACAAAAGATAACAATAAAATAACCAATATTTACAAGAAATATACATTTTATAATCTGTAATCTATAATAATTCTAAAATCTAATCCTCTTTCTGAATATAAGTCTCATTTTTTCACTCATAGCTCTAAACTTATTTAAAAAATCCTAAAATTTACAAACTCAGGTGTAATTACCGCGTTTCATCATCCGTCTCTGCAGCACTGAAAAGAGAAAAAAGTTAATATTAGAGATTGTACTTAGACGCTTGTAGGATACTGTGTAATACACTGTTATTATTTTAGATTCAAGAGTTGTGTGTGTTGAGTAAAACCATAGAAGTTCACTTTTTTAACTTAACCTTATATTTCTACTTTTCTACTATACATTTTTATAGACAGTAGAAATATGGTGTCTTTATCTGAATGAGGACATATTATATAATATTATTTGTAAACACACACGGAGTTTCCGCTAGGAATTTTTGGTGCTGGTCACGGTGTCCGGGATCAATGCAGTTTACTGGACAAATGAGGGTACTTCAGGTCATATGTTAATTACTACTGCCACAAGAAAACACTGAAATTTTGGGCTATACAAGAATGACACCATAAAGTAAAATTAACATTTAATTAACATTTTTTGCATGCAGTTAACATTTAAATAAACAAATAAAATAGTCAACAGGCCTTGAATGCAACCAACAGCCGAGAACAAGAAAACTTTCAGATAATGAAAAAATATTACTTTATGACACAACTGCCAATAACATTTTATTTATCTTTGTTTTACATTTACATTTACGGCATTTGGCAGACGCCCTTATC